TATCCTTTTCCATTAAACATAGTGGGTCCCCCTGCTAATCTTTCCCACTAGATGCAGACAACGTTTGTGTATTATTGCTCTGTCAGCTACTTAACCAGCCCCTCTGTAGCACTGCAAGCCCCCCACCTCACCCCACCCCCTTTTTTTTCTTTTTACAGTTCAGTTAAGGACCTAAAATTCTTCGTGAATATCCGGTTTCATTACATGCACATTTATTTCACAGGGGCAGTGGATTTTAATGGATATCTCTATGTACAAAAAAATATGATAACTTCATTGTGATGCTCTCTGTTCATGCACTGCACATTAGGTATTTAACATGAACATATGTGCAGCATATCTGTTGCTCTCTGTGGCTTTGATTAGCGATCAACCAGGACCTGTGTGAAAAGAAGACTAATGAAACACTGCCTCTGGCATGCCCGTCTCCCAACAATTTTTTCATACTTGTTGGCCTCTATTTAGGAAAAACAAAAACAAAAACAAAGAAAACTATTTTTTTCTGTTGCACTGTGTTTTGTGAGGTGGCAGCTTTCATTTGCAAATGATTATATCCAGCCCAACTTCCCAAATCCGAGTGTGACAATGAAAATGACTGGGATCCTGATGGTTTCTGCCTCATCCTTCCTGTCTCAGGGTTAGCATCTGTCCACCCCCTTGAGGTCTGACACCCATTACACTCTGTCTCCATGTGTCAGCATAGACTTTTGTACTTCACGGTTATCAAGCAGGTCATAGCTTTGGCTCCTAAATACAACCGGCAGGCAGAGATCAGAGGAAGAGTGATTGAATGACAGCAGTTTGATCAAAGTGCACGAACACAAACACACACACTCGGGAAACCCTCGTTTCCCCTGAGTACTTGGAGATATTTCGTGACGGCTCCATTAGATGAAAGACCCCACCAAAAATCCTGCACATGTGCCTTCTCAGCTTCTTCAGCAGCAGGTGTGATAGCGAGCGAATGATAGGAGAGATGTGAGCTGGAGGGAGAGTGAGATCTCTTCTTATTTCATTTCTGTTTCTACTGTTTAGAAGAAGTATGGGTACTCTTGCACAGCATGCTTCTCTTTTCATGGCGAGCAGGTTGTTTGTTTTGGTGGGCAGACTGCCTTAATGAGGGCAGGGGGTAGAGCGAATGGGAGGGAGGGCCTCGCCTTAAAGGGATGATTAGAAAAAGTAGAGTTGAGAGCAAATTCCTCTGAAGACAAACGCTGACCAAAAATACACAGCCGGTGCATTCACGTGCCTTTGAGGAATACCGATGCAAACTGAGAAACGTGGCAGAGTCCTCGGCACTTTGTCTGACATCATCTTTGCTTCGTGCTGTCTGATGCGGCCACAAATGTGCGTCACTCGGTCCTGAGGTCCTAATTAAAACCCAAACCAAGATGATAGCGGCTGGTTCGACGGAAGAAGCCTGTGAACGTCTTAGCGTGCTCAGATCCACAGCCAGCCAGTGTCCTGGTGTGGGAGAGATCTGGTCACCGTGGGCATGAGACAGACTGTATTATCTGCTCAGCGGCCGCCTGGCTCAAGAGATTGCTCGGCGGAGGGATGGGCGGTTAGGCAACAGGATAAGATATGTCCTCCTTTGGTGTCAGAGACTGAGTTGATGCCATTTGATATTTGCGTGTGTTGGAATACGTGCTGACAACTTAATTCTCATAAAAACAGGCACTGTTCACTAATCACAAAAGTATCCCATGACTGTCATGAGCCTGACATGAGTTTTCCAGTGATTTTTGTGACATTTAGGGGTGTGCACCTTTAGCTGTGGGAGAGGGCAGCAGTGACCTTATCTGACACTGCCAACAGCAGAAGACATCAAAAGACAAATAACAGAGGAAAACCACGAGACACCAAGCAGACGTAAGGATAAACGGGTACGGGCAACGCCGTTAAATCACGGTGCACACTGCTGGCATTGCTTTAGATGTCGTGGTTTCAGGGGTAGAGTTCAGCAGCATGAATCACGGATGTTGCTGCTGGAAGTCAGTCCCCCGTGAGGACGGATGGCAAAAGTAACTTTTTCTAATGTCTGTGTTATGTGCCTTAATATTCATTGTTGTTTTCTCTTCCTCTCTTGCAGGTATTCCTAGTAACATTGGTCCAGTTAGTAAGTAAACAGTTACAAGTAAACAATATGACTGCTTGATGCTTTGCTTTGCCTACTGTCCCACTCTTCACCGTACACCCCTAAACCCATTGCCAGGTGTTCATTTCTGATTCCAATCTTATGAAAAATCACTCAGCAATTGTCGACTAACCTTTTTTTTTTGGTTAGGGGGAGGGATAAGCCATAGCTGGGGGCTATATTGTCATAATGTGGGCATATTAATTTACTTTATCCTGATTCAACTCGACCAGATAATACTTGCCTGGCTCTGCATGGCAAATGTCATTTGTTTTTTTCCCCCCTCCTTCTCTCCCATGCATTATAAATAAATGGCATCTAGACTTTATTAAAGTGCCAAGACCTCTCTGACAGTGTAATGTCACAGGAGGTCATTTTAATATAAGCCGCAAGCGCCTCGGCTGGTATTATCTTCGTCAAACAGTAGCCCCTCAGGAGGAGGAGGAGGAAGAAGAGAGGTGCCATGTCTCAAGTTACCGCTGCCTGGAAGGATGTGTGATGCAGGAAACATAGGACTGTATTGAACAAGTCAAAGTGCATTCACAGCCTGGCTCAGTTCGCCTTAATCTTTTTTCTTTTTTTCCCCCATCGCCCTGTTCTTCATGAGTATCCTCTATTCCCGGGGCAGTGGATCGATTAATAAATTGCTTCCTCCATGAGGAAGTTACCTGTTAAATTAAGATCAACAGCATTTTTCAATATTTCCAATTATTTGTGAGCTCTTTTTAAGCTCAGTAGTAAATTGTTTTCATTTAATATCCAATTGTGTGCTCAAGCCAACCCAAGGTTCCCCAAAGGACACATGCGTGCTTGTCTTGTTTTTATCATTTAAAGGCTAAGACGACTTCTGGGCAAGTTTCCTAAAACGTGCTGCGAGTGACGTAGGGATTGTTCCCGGGTGGTTATTAATCAGGCTTTAGTGTGGTAGCTTACTCAGTAAGTGAACACTTGTTATAAAGTCTGATGCTATGACGTCATGAGTCAGAAATGGACATGTGGCCAAGACGACCAATTT